CTGTGCCCGGGCCGGCGCCAGCGTTCCCGGGCCGCTGCATCGAAGGCCGCATCATTCGCCTCCTGCAAGTGCTGGGGCCGCTCCAGCGACGGTTGCAGCACTGAGGGCATGGCCTTGACTTTGGGGGTCGACGGTGGCGTGCTCGAAGGAACTGCCGTGGTTGAAGACGAAGATGCCCGAGGTGAAGCCGATGGCAGAGGTGGTGGTGCCCGCAAAGATGGAGCAGATGCCGAAGCTGATGAGGGCGAGACCACAGGCCGCATAGGTGGCACCTTTGGCGGAGGTGCTTTGGGCGGCGTCACCGGTTGGGCACTACCGCCAGCAGCAGCCCGGGGTGGCGACTCCACCCGTGCCCGCTTCGCCGGCCGCGAGGGACTGGTGAACGAAAAGGTGGACACCGTGTTCCTCGGCCCCTGCGCGGGCTCAGGCACCGGGCCGGCAGCCACGGCTGGGGCCGGGCGCTTCCGCCGGAGCGCAGCAGTGAGTCGTTGACCAGTAGCGCGGATGATCTGGACCTGGGCCGGCAGCAAGGTCTTGACCACGGGCATGCCAGGGATGGAGTCCGTAGAAACTCGGCGGATCTGAGGGTCCGAAGCGAGGAGCTCGTCAGCTTCTTCCACGCAAGTGGACCATCGGGCCGAGGCGTAACCAGTCGGCAGTTCGTCCCACAACGCCATGTTGAGGTCCTGGAAGAAGTGCAATCCAGCCAGGCGCAACTGGTGTCCTAGGCGTTGTTTCCGCGAGTCATATCGCAGAGGGGTGGTAGCCGTAGACTTGGAGGACTGGTCCACCCATTGTCCAAGAGCAAGACGCTCTGTCTCGGAGAGCCCCACATACCCTGCCAAAGTCGGAAGCACGCGGCGGAACGAGTAGGACGAGAGGCTGGTAACGTCCATGGCTGCACTCAGGTAGGGCTGCAGGATCCGGACACATTGTGCTGTGCCCACCGGCTGGGCTGTAGCCGAGTCGAACCCCAACCAATGCCAGCGCTTGAAGCCAGCGCCTGTTCTGGGGCGCACTTTGTTCAAATGGGTACCGAGCACTTGTAGAAGGTCCAACGTGCCACAATACCTCGGAACGCTCCAGGCGAAGCCACCACGACTGCCGGTCTTACCTTTCGTGCACCAGAACACAAGGATGCTCCCGTTCCCGCCGACCAAGTAGCTCCGTTGCAGATGGGTGTACCTGACCACACCAAAACAGAGGGCGTAGGCACAAAACACCATAGGCCAGTGAGGATTGTCAACGGTGGATTCCAAGGTGCCCAACAGGTGGATGACCATAGATGGCTCCAAAGTCGCCGCCTGCGACTGCCCCTGACCGAGGCGAGATCCCAAACCAGCCCGAGGTTTCACCACTTCGGAGAGGTCAAATGGCAACTTGAGGTTGCGGACGATCCAGCCTAGAGCGGTATATGCCCTGGTAGGGGACTTGTGCTCCCGAATGAAGGTGGCCAGGAGGTGTTTGTCTGGGATACCTCCACCTGCAGCGGCAATGACCCCTTGAAGCTCTTGCCACGTGTGCAATGCTCGCCTCACGGTGGCGGCCTCCGCCTTCTGGAGCACATGTGTGAGCTTGGCCTCGAAGTTGGCGGTGATCTCAGCCAAGCGAGCCGCCGGCGGGGGCTCAACTGCCAGAAGAATGGCCATCAACTGAGGCAGAAAGCTCAAGGCACCGCCATCCGGGCCGCCCGACTGACGGCCCTGGGCACTGGGCCTGACTGGCCCCGCAAACGATGGGGTAGGTCGTGGCCTCAAAGGTGGCGATGTGGTAGGCCGCGGCGCTGATTGCGAAACTTGTTCACGACGAACGATGTCTCGCACCAGGGCTCCAGCGCCCAGCTCCGCTTCACGGCGTGCCTGGTCCCAGGCCTCGGCCACTGCGCGGCCCTGCTTCAGCGCTTCCTCGTAGGTAACGAAGTAGAACGCTAAGTCGGAGGGCCTTTCGATACCATGGGCAGCGCACCACCGCTCCAGCTTCTGCTGTTCAGCAGAGCGGCGGATCTGAGCGTCGGCGCTTGCCATGGCGTCAGAACCGGGAAGAAAAAGTTTAGCTTGAGGTACCAGCAGCGACACTGCTCCTCAAGGGGCGTCTCCCCAGTTTGGCTTGAGCATTCAAACATTGGGAGACGTTGATTCGAAGCTTCCCAAATAATTCATCATCACCGACCCTGCCTACCTTAAATGATTGAATATATACTTGCGCAGAAAATTATAGCCTAAAGTATCAAGAAGCAACGAAAAGTGCATACAGTCCACGCTGAAAACATACACAGATTTGCTCGTTTTGTACATAAACATACATTTTCCCAAAAGTCTGATTTCGGAAAGTGTTTTAGCTATCTGGAAGTTATCTCGAAATTATTTTCATTGTTTTTTTAAAAAAAAAAAACTTCAAAATAATCTATACAACTTCCAGTTAACTTCAATAGAGCCCGGGTCTCACCTTGTAGACGCCTCTGTCACGACACGAAGAAGGAATCTAAAGCGCCGTCTTGCAGGAAGTCTCTCAAACGACACAGAAACTCCAAACATATCCTGCCCCCAGCTCCCCTTCATCCAACCAGCGACCCGACCTTAGCCGACACCTTTGAAGTCATCAAATAATAGGACGCCGTAAGGAAAAGGAAGACTCCCACCACGCTGATGCCCTAAGCAAGCAAGTGGGGAAGGAAGCAGTGTTTCACTTTTTCCGACGATGCCTTCACCTTATATCCATCTTTATGTTCGGCTCAGCCCCCGACCCAAAGGATTTGCTCCCATGCTTCACATTCCATGCATTGTCCTTCTCTCCATGTCTTACCTGCTCTGATGGACGCTGGATAGACTGCGCAAATGAACACTAATAACTGCGAGGCTCGATAGATTTTGAGGAACTTCTCAAGTTTCATTACCACTTCTTCGCTGAACTCAACCCCAAGACTCAAAACAAGCTTCTGCTCGAGCCTTGTGGGCACTCAGCACATGGCACTCCAGCAAGACCACCTGCGCAAGAGTCTGGGACGCCGCCTGGGCAGTGCCAGATCTTGCCACACTTGTAGACCTCCCAGGGTTGATGTTAATCATACTGGACACACTGAAAACAAGGCTACCGTCGGATGACCGCACTTCCCAAAAGTGCGCGCGTCCTCTGGAACCTGCTTTCCACATGCGCGTACTGATGTAGGAGGGGGCCCAAGAGCAACATGTTATTGTCATTTGCGATGTTTTCTTCACTCTTCCAGCAAACTTCTGCAATCTCCAACGCGCGGTAAGCCCCCTTGCTCGGGGCAAGAAGTAATGCTTCTCGCACGTACTACATTGCGCTTGCAACTGGGTGTGGTGTCCTAAGCGCTTTGTCAGCGCAACAACCCTCTTTTAGACCGCAAAATGAAAACAAAGGGTTCACGTCTTGGTTGGTGGCCTGCTGAATCCCTCTGAAGTGAAGCCTACAATGTGTTCCTGTCTTTGCCGGATCACTATTTGCCGCGTCACCCCTTCCAACCCAAACCTTCAAGGGCTCAGCTGCCGTGGTGTAGTAGCCTGCATCCACAATAGGCAAGTGCTTCGCGCCCAAAGGATGCACGCCTGTCTCATAACCTGGGCATTCTGCCAAGAAACGACTGGAGCGAAGTCAAACAAGGAATTGCATGTATTGGCGCCAACCCCGTGGCTCTGGGTTTTGATTGACACCGCTCCAAGAAACTCTCCAAGGTCCCCATGGCGGGACAAGTCAAGCCAACGCTGCAAACCTCGCACGTCAGACCTGCCAAGGCATCAACTGGCCCTTCACCAACCACCACAGTAATACATCAAGGCATGGTCTTGGATTTTAGGCGAAGATCGTTCCGTTTCGCAGCGTGGGTTTATGAAAGGACCACTGGTCATGGGCCAAAAACCTTTCACTGAAAAAACAACTTTCAACTCGGCACTTCGCACTTCTGGACACCGGATCAAGCGCTACATATTCCGTTTGCGGACACGTTTCCTGAGCGAACGCCTGCAGGCGCAACGTCAATGCGACCCTCAACGCAGCCGCAATCGGTGAACACCACGGATCCCAAGCCCAGCGTGCTGCTTCCATCCGGGCACCTGAGGGACCGGCGGTATCTAGTCCCAAGTATTGTGAGATGTTTCTTGGCATCACGGTGACTGCCTCAACTTACAAGTTGCAAGTATCAAAACGGCCCCGATGCATAATAAATGAAGGCGTGAAAGTTTGCACCCCTTACAGTTTTGTTGGGGTACATCTGTGGCACATACTACGTTGGTCTTGACCATATTTTGTCGCCATGCAATACATGAAGAGCAAGCCGTGTACTTCGTGGTTTTCGCGCTCTCCATGATGTTGCTGCATAGTACATCTTCGCGCGCACCTTCCGCACCTTCTCCATGCGTTGCGATAATGAATTTTGTGTGTGTGGCCCCTTTTATACATCTCTTAAAGTCCATGGTTTTTGTTGTGGGTCCCTAAGTTGCATTTCTGGTAAGGTTGTGTATTTACGCAAGGCGATCGCTCAGACCTTTCTCCTTCACTTTCTCCAGCATTGCTCCCCACATCTGAACCATGTTCTTGTTTATGCATGGTGCTGGTTAGCCTCACTACATCAACCAAGCCTCAAGATGACCCAACATGACCCCACCAGAGCCCCAACATCAGCCTAACATCGCCTCAATATACCGCATAGCCTCAACATCACCAAAGAGCCTTACCACACACATTCTTGTGGGGCCCTACATTGCTGATGCAATCTAAGCAATTCTTCTCTGTGGGGATCGAAATTGCACCTTTAGCATCCTTTAGCGAAGTTCGGCGTTTACACAACACAATCCCTCTGCTGCAACGCCACCTGCAACACAATTCGCTCAATTCTACCGCTATGCGCATGAAACCCTTCTACCGAAGGCCAATTGCAAACACAAACCGGGACCCACAAAACAACCCCTGTACCTTCTGCAAATCAAAAAACATGTCCACACACGTATGGCCAACAACTCCCTGCGCTGTTCCAGCGCTTTCTGTCATCTGAAGACAAGAGACGCAATGCATTGGACTTGACCCTCTTGATCCTGATAGGTGCCCAGTGGACAACGCTTGCAGCTGTGGCTTCCCAGCTCGTCTTGGTATGTGCCCTTGTCACAGGGGTCACACTTGAGCGAGGCTCCCAAAGCCTGGCTAGTGCCCAAGGGGCATGCGGAACAGATGTGGGTCACGCCGATGGAATCCACCAAGCGCTCAGAAAAGGTACCGCTGGGGCAAACTTGGCACCTGACCGCTTGGCACACATTTTTTGGCATCTGACGTGACCAACGTTTTAAAGAAACAAAATGGAGCCCACGAACCCGAATGCAAACACGTTCAAAAAGCTACATATGTCCAAATGACACTCTTGTAGGACACTCTTGTGGGACACTCTTGTGGGTCACTCTTGTAGGAAACTCTTGTGGGACACTCTTACGGGACACTCTTGTGGGACACTCTTGTGGGACGCTGTTGCGGGACACTCTTGTGGGACACTCTAGTAGGAAACTCTTGTGGGGCACTCTTGTAGGACACTCTTGTGGGATACTCCTGTAGGACACTCTTGTGGGACACTCTTGTGGGACACTGTTGCGGGACACTCTTGTGGGACACTCTTAAGGGACACTCTTGTGAGACACTCTTGCGGGACACTCTTGTGGGACACTCCTGTGGGACACTCATTTGGGACACTCTTGTGGGACACTCTTGCAGGACACTCTTGTGGGACACTCTTAAGGGACACTCTTGTGAGACACTCTTGCGGGACACTGTT